TTTGCCAAGAGTGCTTCCTGGCACTGCTCTCGAGGAATATACCTGTCTTTATGACCAGCCGCATTTTTGCACCTTCCTTTAGCCGTTCTGTACCTCCCTTCTTGTTCAGATCTTGCTGCGCTACGTGATGGATCGAGGCATTGCCATCATACCGAAATCCATAAAGCCCGCACGAGTGATTGAGAACTTCCAGGTTGATTCCCACTAATTTCATTTGCTAGTCCCAGGTAAATGTAAACTTTTCAGTTGTTTGACTTTTCGTTGACAAAAGAGGACATCAAACTGCTGGAATCAACAAAGCATCGCCAGAGGCTTTTCACGGACGACTTGTAAGTTGCTGAGAACTTTGTTCGCATCAAAACCACATGTAGACTGCCTTTGGCCAGTTCACCTATTATGCGACATGCTCAGTACATCCAATCAAATTTGCGGAGACGGTTGAATGCATGGAGTGTACCCGAGGTAGCGAGATGATCTTGAAATTCGGTTTTACCCTGCGTCATTAATACTCGTATCTGGGACATCTACAGATTCATGTCGTCAGCTTTGCATGCCTAGGGTGGGGCAAAGTTACTAGAGCACTTGCATTTCATTGCTATTGCTTGTCCGAACCAATTTCTAGAAATCAATTCCAACTAGAATTATGAGTTACTACGACAATCCAAAATTGAATGGGGGCTCCCGAAGTGATTTCTTAAGTAAGATCGGAAAATAAGTTTATGGGTGCACCTGTAGCTATTTTGACCCCACTCTGCAATATACCGCTCTTATATATCTATTTATCTTATTTACTTGTCATATTTATTTATGTATTTCAGCATGAAAGGCCATCCAGAAGATCCATTCGCTGCAGAGAGATGAGACAGAGGAAGCACTTCACAGTTCTTAAATCTGACACCACTCTGCTCAAGCTCAATTAGTTTATTGTTAGGACAGTTTCTGACAATTATCATTAGGTTAGACTTCTACGTCGTACATGCTTAACTGGGTTTTGTTCAAAAAAATAAACATGATAGAAGTAAGTTTCAGTATTGTTGTGCCTTACGAGGTTGTTAGGTGGAACATTTATTAATGGCCTAACGTTTCGACTCAATCGTCGTCTTCAGAGGCCAGTTGTTCCACCGTTTGAGCGGATAGGTCCGCTGCCACACTAGAGCGCTGTTAGTAGAATAAAACATGATAGAGTTTGTAACATTTATATTCGATGTAGACATTTAAACTCACGAACGTAGCTCGAGAAACAAGCTGTGAAGGAATAGGAAGAAAAATTTGAACTGGTGAGTAACAAACAGTATTAAAAAGCATGCCACACGATCGATTCCCATTCATTCTGGTAGAAATATTTGGAAGAATCGGTGACAAACAAACTGAGATTTGTTGGAGTAATATGGGTTGAGGACTCCTATTATTCATATTTTGGTTCTCCTTACAGCTATTATCCAAACGAGATGGCGCATTGAAGGACGTAGATTGAAGCTCACCAGGGAAGGTCGCCATAGCTATTCGGGATGGTATCGTTTCATAAATTAAAATATTAGGTTGTCCGGAAAGTTCTTAGCGTTTTGGGTGTTTCACTTTAAGCGATCGTAACTTTCTTAATACTCATCGGATTTAATCGAAATAGGCACCTTCGGAATTCGAAGGCACATTGCCAAGCCGTGTCCATTCTGTCGGACAAATATCGCATCAAATGGAAAAAAACTGGATTGCAGTCGGAGAATCCACTAAATCCACGCGAGTCTTTTGCCTGTCTTAATTTGAAGAAGTATTTTTTTCAGCAAGGAAAGTTCTGAAAATGTCTGAAAAGGTGACAGTCGGTTGGTGAAAGGTCTAGAGAATATGGTGGGTGAGGTAGAACTTCAACTCCCAATTCGTTCAATTTATGGATAGTGATTTGTGAAACGTGTGGGCGGGCGTTGTCATGCAAAAGAATCGGACCCTTTCTTTTGATAAGTGTTGGCTGCAGCTGACAATATTTTCGGTACATTTGGTCGGTTTGTTCACAGTAGGGTTCTGCTGTGATGGTTTGGCCTGGTGATGAAAAGTTATAGTGGATTACAACAGCCGATGACCACCAAACCTGACCAGAATTTTTTTCGTGAGGGTTCGGCTTTGAAAATTACCTCGGTGGTTCCTCCAAATCCAACCACTGTCCGGAACATCTCCTGTTTA